CGGATTCTACTACAGAAGACATGTAACTTCAAAATATCTTTTCTACATAAACTGTACTGGAATCGTACATTAATATGCTTGAGATTTTTACCCAGAACTGTGCATAATTACTCATAAATCAATTTTTTCGAGTTCTAAGAAGATAGCCACTTTTACTTACTTGGAAACAAGAACCAAAGATATCGATCAAGCATACACCTGGATGACTGGTTTTTTTTTTAAACACGCCTCGGTTTGCATTTGAAAAATTAAATAATTTACCCTTCACCCTCCATTTATCTTGATTCGTCGCAAAATATTTAAAACTTTGCAATTGCCAAACTTGAAATACCACAATTTTGACAAAACAATCTTCATAACAAACTCTGGACAATAATAACCAAAGTTTGCCAAGGACTGAAAATCCAACTACACACGGAAAATCCATCTATGGACGTATTCTCTCAGTCGTTAACTATCAATGTCATAAAACGTATTTTTCGTTTGAAACAAAATAAATGTTGAAACTCACGCATTCCAGAGTTCAAGTAACCTGCATAACACTTAAATGCGTTTAACAATAGTCTGAGTCATTTTGCTTACACGGCGATTTACCTTCGTGTGTCTACGAATTAGTTCTGCCTGTCATGTGCACACATAGATAAATGATTGCCCACCCAAAAACCAATTAAAGTGCTGCTCCTCTCTTATCTAAGGGCACACTTTTAATAGCCGAAGAATGTGACACATTACACGAGAGCTCACGACGAACCTGCAAGCAGATTAATGGATCAATGGAATGTGCGAAAATATCCGAGCGTTTTAACTAACATCTCTCTTTGACGATTCCACGCTAAAAGTGCGCCAAGCGAAGATAATTAAGATTTTGTAAATATATTTACCACACAAAGCAAAGAATTCCAAATTGCCGCTAAGAAATATGTTGAAACACAAACAAGACAATGGGAACCGCTTTCGAAAGCATATGTGTGTGTGTGAGTATGAATGCGATGTATGTTTTTTAATATATTTTGACCTTTCATTTATCAGCGGCAAGTCGCCTTTTGATAACTTAATGTTGTAAGGCATTTGATTGTCATTTATCCATTTGCCACTTACACAGAAACACACCTTATACCCGCAGCAATGTTGGAGAAGCCAGAAAGAAAAACAACCCCGCGGGTGGTATCAGCATGTTGCCACAACAACTGCATGCGCACACACGCTATGTGCAATAACAAACAGTGCATTTGAATGAACTCGTTAAAAAGCAAAGAAACCCAAAACAAATGCATTTAAAAGAACGAGACACAAATCGAAATCAATGGACAAAGGACATGGAAGATTCGCACACCAACTATGCAC